TGGTCTTTAAGTAGACCGAGGATTCTGTATCCTAAGGGAACGCTCTTTTCTCCTATAAGCAAGGCCGTAAAGGTATGCTGGCGTGTAAGCGCAATATTGATGTTTTATTTTTACAGTGGAGTTTTTGGTGGCCTGGTGGTTTTTCTTCTGTTGCTGATTTTTATTTTTTAACAATAAACTTTTTTTTTATTTATTTATTGCTATTGTTTGTTTTTAAATTTATTTTTTTCGCATAAATATATTTTTTAGATAAATAATTTTTTTGGAGAAGGAAACATTTAATGGGCATTCTTGCTTGCCGTTTACAAATTTTTTATCCCTAAAACAAGAATCGAAATTAATTGAAAAGATACATAATTTAAACAAAATTTACACATATTTTTAATAATTGTACTTTTTTAGATTTCATATAACAAATTTAATGCTTACTAATTTATTCTAGTTTATGATTATTTTGATATTTTTATTTTATCTAGCGTTAACTTTAATCCGTTTTAAATCTAATGTTGACAAATGTCACAATATGATTATCTACTTAAATTATATATAAAATTATTTAAAATAAGAAATGCAAGAATTTAATAATAAACCTATTGATAGTATCAATTGATAAAATTTGTTTAAATAAAAAACAATTTATTAAGCGTGGATGCTTATTTGATATAGATGTTTAATAAGAACACTTACTTTAATAATCTTCCAACCCTCCTCCTTTGTATTTGCATGAAAATCTACTTCATTTCTAAAAAATTAAGGAGTAATTTACTTTTTAAAATATTTATTAATAATTTTTTATCAAAATTGGTTTCTCGACATTCCTTTAACCATTTTACATCCATTATACCTTCTATACGTTCACCACAATGATACATACAATTCTTTAATTAAATTCATCGATTATAACCATGATATTTTGGCAATTGATTTGAACTTTTCTTACAATTTTTTATTTACTTATTATAAATTTAAATATGTTAATTATAAACACATGTAGTAAAAACATTATTTTAGCTTTAGTGTTTATAATAGACAAAAATAAGATTTCAGATATCTTTATCAATTTAATTTTGAATTGTGAAAAAAATTTCTATCAATTAAAGAGCGTTCTTCCTACATTTATATCGAATTCTTTATAATAACTGTTTTTTTATAACACTTCAAATTACATAAACACACATTATAGAATATACTTTTTACTATTTTGTAATTAATATTTTATAACGTTTCATTAATATTTCTATGCTTTCTTTCATTTTAATTTTGTATTTTATGGTTGAAAATTTTATTTCTCAAGCAAAAATATTTATGTTTAACCCCAACTTTAGCCGTTTACACAAATTGTTTAAGAATTTGATAGGTGGCTGGCTCTGTAATGATTTTTACTGATTTTACGCTGTTTAAAGTATAAACTACAACTAATCATTTAATACCATAAATTTAAATTATATTCAAGTTATTTGATATGTATACTTAAGACAACATAAATGCATACCATTGTAACCTAGTTACCTTGAGCACAAACAACAAATTAATTTTTTAACATACTGCTTTAATTACAATTACATAATAATTTTAAAATAAATAGAAACTTAAGGAGTAATATGAAAGAGAACAATTAGGATACAAAGATAGTAGAATAAACAACTTAAAAAGAAGTTTTTAATTAAATTAAAAAACTTCTATATTTGGTAATTTTATAAATACTGTCTATAATCTACAAATATTGCACATTTTTATAAACAAATTTTGTTAAAACTTTTAAATCATTATTTAAGTATAGTTAAAGGATTTTAATATATTTTTTAATTAATTTGGTGTCTAAAATTACTTATAAATAGAAATTTTCCAAAATCATTATCAACATTTTTGTATTTTGATCACATTTTAAAAATTAAATTTTATTTTTTTTTCTATTTAAAAATTTTTTACCCTCGCTATATGAAAATCATTACGTTTCTTTTTATAAACGTGTTAGGATTTAAACTACAAGCAGCTTTTTATTCTAATGTATTCTCAAAATACATCAATTTATTTGATTTAAATTTAAATGAGGGCATAGAATGTTCAAAAATGGAAGAAATTGTTGATTTCATGTTGGGAATAGGTATGATCAAAACGAAAGAGCCTTACTGGCGTTCAAGTTATTATAGAACACCGAATAATCCTGAAAAAGAATTATTAATGAAACAAGCTTATAACATTGAAAATGTTACATTTACAAAAAACGTCACTGAACTTATATTTGTAGTAAATGGCAGGCTAGTGACAATAGAAGATTTGCCAATTTTAAGAATGCTATTTGGAATCATTAAATATAAAAAAAATACTTGGGAATGTATTGATACACTAAATGAACAAATTGAAATTTATGAAAATTGTGATAAATGCCCTTATCTTGGTCCTTACACGTATCAAGTTATAATGAAAGAGGATTATATTAAATTTCGTGATGCATGTAATGAATTAGAAAATTTTAAAGGTCAATCTGTACTAGCTCTTACTAAACGAGCAATATGTTTTTATATTAAAAATAATCCAAAAATTACTGATGAAGATTTAAATAATTTTTTACAACAAGATGATGGTCTTATTTTTGAATGTAGTGAAAAGATCAAAGAAGCTTTTCTAGATGCTTGTTGTTGTAGTGAAGATATGGTTATGTTTGATGAAAAGTATGTTGCGTTTATTAATTATCTGCATTAAAAAACATTTATAATTTTATTAGTTTACTGTATAAATTTTAATGCTTATTATGCAATACAGTTTTTTTTAACTTATTTAAAGTTTATCTATTTAATTGAAAAGACTTTACAAAAACAATTGTGAAAAAATAAGAAATTTAATTTGAAAACAAAAAAAGCAATTTACAGTCTTTTTGTAGATAACAGTAATGAAAATGTCACGAACTTGACTTTTTTGTAAAGTTAAAATAAGTTATTTGCGCATTTAAGTTAGATGCCAAACATAGAGTATTTTTCTAATAAATTTATTAAATGAACAATTTAAAAATAACTTTATTGAGTGTTTTTTGATTTTTTTTTTTCTATAAATATAATATCGGTTTAATAAATAATTTTTTTTTTGAAAAAAATAAAAAACAACGCATTATTATTTCCAAATAAATTGAAAAGGAACGGAATTTTAACATAATTTATATATATTTTTGTGGAATCATACCATATTTGTTTGTAATTTCTTAATAATTTATAATAAAATTTAAACAAAACATTAAATTTCTCAACACCAAAATGTTTGATAAAAGTTTATTTTAAATAAATAAAATCCTTAAGAAGGGTACTTATGAATTTAAAATTATTTAATTTTTAAATGAGAGTTTAAGCAACATTGGCATAAGGCCAATACAAGTGGTGTGCTAAAAAAAAGAATGCTTACTACTTATATCATTTTAGAATTACATTTAAAATTCGGTTGCCTTCCATGAGAATACATCAATTTTATAAAAATTTAATTTGATTTAAAATTGTTTTCTAAGACTAATTTAAAATAATTAGTGTTTAATGGTTAAAACCTTGGTCTAACGTTTTTATAAAAAAATATTATACACGCTGAGCTGTGAGAAATAATACTTCTTAGTAAAACAGTACTTTATTAAAATTAATGTTTTTGGTTTTGTTTTACACCTTATGTTATACTGATAAATAAAACTTACTTTTTTGTTTGAGCTGTACACAAAATTTTTTTATAGTAATCTAACCCCTACGCATGGCTCTTTCTGAATTCTTAAAAGGTAAAATAATTACCTTGTTGAAATTTAATTACTCACAAGTCCAGATTTCAAAAAAACTCAAGATAAATCAAAGCACAGCGCCTAGGATACTGTCTAAATATCGCATTACTAGCAATACGGAAATAAAAACGATCATGAACATCGAGAATCTATAATACTCCTGAATTTGAGGCAATTAAGAAAATTAATAAAATCCAAAACCATCTTTAAGGAAGGTAGCTACTGAGTTTAAGCCGAGTACTGGTAGGACATATCGCATTTATGAGTGAAAAACATTCTAAATAAAGCTACTATTGGGGGAATTTCGCTTATTAAAAAACCCCTCTTGTCAAAAAAAACATTTGAATAGAATCAAGAGAATGGCAGATTTTCTTTGTCTCTCAAATAATGAAATAAAAAGCATTATATTTTTTGATAAGAGCAAATTTAATCTGTTTAACTCCGATGGTAAGGTTTTTGTCTGGAGATAACAAGAAATTGGCCTTAAGTTGAAGCACCTAACACCAACAGCTAAATTTAGAGAGGAGTCTGTCATGATATAAATATGTTTCTCATATTGTGGAGTATGGAGGTTGGTATTCATTGATGGAATCATGAATGCTGCTGCATATGCTGACATTCTTGCAACTAACCTGACTACCTCTGTTCATAGGATAGGCCTTAAGAAGTTTATTTTCTAACAGGATAACGATCCCAAGCATACTTCAAAACTTTCGAAGGTTTATTTTGAAAAAAAAGACATGAAATTGTTGCTATGGCTTTCACAATCACCAGATTTAAACCCTATCGAGGCTCTATGGGCCTTAATTAAGGAGGAGTTAACTAATTTTTTTTAAAAACAAAGACTGTATTAAAAGCAAAAAATTGAACAAATTTAGCACTCAATACCTATAGAATTATGTTTAAAATTAGCAATGAGTTTTAAAAAGCGATCAGTGACGGTTTATAAAACTAAAGGGGAGCATATTAGATATTAAATTAAAAATGCATATTTTGTTTTACAGTTTTTAAAAAAATTAAAAAAAACTGTTATTATTACAACAAAAATGTAAAAAAAGTTGTTAAATTCATATAAAATGCAAAAACAAATAAAATTGTTATTCTTGTTGGGGCAGACACAATATAGAATTGCGTCTTTCGTGATGCACTTTTTATTTTACAGGTTATATATAATAACATTTCGACTGACAAACGATTTTTTAAATTTTTTATAAATCTCGTCAAACTCAGCACTATAAATATCCAACATATATCTTCTTTTAAATGTATATTGTATATAAAACAATCCAATTATCTATTTAGTCCCCATAAACGCCGTTTTCCTTTTCTATAATGCTTTTGGCGCTACAACATCTTTCCACTCTCCCTTCTAATAATTACGTACAAATTTTTAAAAAGTGAACGTAGCTATTCAAAGGAGGAGTGGAAAGATGAAGTAAAGGTAACAAAAAAATTATTTTTTACCCTTTATTATGGAAAATCTTAAAAATTTTTTTGCTTTAAATTCAATGATATTATATTACTAGAGAATTCTAAGATTTAGATTTTTTTTTAAAATATAATCTAAAAAAAATGAAAAAAATTTTGCGAAATGTGATATCAGGATGAGAATCATGATGGCTGCCACGTATGTAGACGTGCATGCTTACATATGCTTTTCTAAGGCATGCAGATCCAGGGCCAGCCTTAATAAAAAGAGAAAATGGCCTTCCACCCTCAACATAGAGTTTGTAAAAATTCTAAGAGGGATGTATTCCTGAGTATATGATTATACTCTAACGCAGGCCATTGATTTCTATGATTATTAAAAGACTTACCTATATTAAAATCAAAAATTTAATTTTGAAAGTAATTTACGAACAAGAATTAGAAGTGATTAAAATAGGCGGAAAAGGTATTAGGATGCAGTTTGACAAAACTACTATTTATAATGGGTAGTTAATATCTAATCCATTGAGTACCTTAGACAACAAAGTCAACGTACAATGGCTAGTAGTAAGAGTGAAGGAAGGGAACTGTAGGAATTTTGTTTTAAAACTTGTTTCTAACAGTATTTTTCCACTATACTAGAAATGTTTGAAGAACGTGTTATACTCGTATCTATCATTGTTACTGATGGTTATCCATCTTAGCCCGGTGCAGTAGCTGGTTTTGGATCTTGCCATGAAGTAGTAAACCAGATTAAAACTCGTAGTTTCATCTTAAGCATGCTTATAGAAAAATTGGTGGCATAAATAAAGAAAGAATTTATTTTTTTAAATAAATGGCAGTGTAGAAAGTAAAACATTTAATATAGCAATAATAAGATACTTAGAACTGCATTATAAAAATTATTTAAATTTTATTTCTTTTAACCAATAATCTTCAAAATAAACATTTTGGTTTTAAAAAAATTATGGGGAAGAAAGATGGAATAGCGCCATATATTTTAATTATTTTTATCTTCCAAAACGAGGGGCCTATACGACCCGATACAAAAGATATAAGTATGATTTTAAGAAGATTCACATTTTGTTTTTTTATATTTCGTTAATTATATAAATATACATAACGGAATATATTAATTACATTTTGTAATTATTATTTTATGTTGTATTCTATTTTTTTATTAACACACAAATATTTTGGGTACTAATATAAAGACGAAGAAAGGTTGAGTTGTTAAGTTATGGCTGTAGCAAAAAGGCTTTAAATTTGTTCAAAGAAATAACGATTTTTTGTTTTATATGGAGTTAGAACAGAGTGAGGCAGAAAACAGGAAAAAAGAGTTTTTATAGATTAAGTAGAGACTAAAAAATTTTGATTATTAGGAATTTAGGAAATGACCAAGATTTAATAATTTAAAAAATAGTTGATGCTTAAAGTTAAAGAGATAGAGGAAAGGAAGAATAAGGAGAGAGGAATTAACGATTGATGCGGGCCGTGATAGACATAGCAAAAACGTTTTAGCTGCGTATAATAGGATTCCTCGGCGTAGAGAATTAAAATATTTTTATTGTGATAGATCTTATTAACAGCTAAAAATTATTTTAAAACAATTTAATGAATAAAATAGCAACATCAATAATTAAAGTAGTTATAGTCTACAACAATAAAATAAATTGGTCAATATAAGAGATGTGGTTATGGCCACCTTGTGAACTAGAGTAATGTCCGTGTTAGACTTGAAGTCGACATTTCACAATATTAAAACAATTTAGCAAGATAAACATAAGACGAAATTTTTATTCAAAGAAAATGTTTACGAATTTAATGGTAATGTGGTACATGAAATATCCCCGGATTTTGCTAAGAGTTATAAACAACATATTAAAAGGCATAAAAAGTAAAGACTTCGGAACTTACATAAAGAATATAATATTTTACCGAAGAGCTTTTAAGAACACAATAGAATAATATAAAAAGCTTTAAAGAGATTTCAAAAAACAATATGAAATTAAACTTTTATAAGATATATTTTGTAAGAAAGAAATGTGATCAATGGCGGTGACTTTTAACGACATTTATATTGTACCATTAAAAATTAACGAGAATTAAGCTTTAGAATTCTCGGTACCTAATGAGTGTTTTAGAGGTCAGAAGATTTTAGAACTACCAGGATGGTTCAGAGACTTTGTTAAAAATTATGCCTAGAAGAACATACCTTCGACAAAAATTTGAAAAAAAGGTAGAAATTGAGATGCTCAAAATGGATAAAGAATATAAAAACGCAAAAAAGTCTTTAAGGAGCTAAGCAAATTGCAGAAAGATTTCTACACAGAGTTGACGCAAGCAACATGGGCATGGATGCAGTATTATTACAGCAGAATAATTGTTAGTATAGTGGGCCTAAAGAAATGTATATCACAAAAGCCAGATAGAATACTAAAGAAAGAAATGTGTATGGTATTCTGGAGGATCAAAAAATTGAATATGAGCTTGGAGTAAAAGGATTTGATATTATAAACTGATCATAAAGCTCCTGTAGAAATCAGGAATAAAACAGACTTTGAGAATATACGAATAAATCGATGAGCAGAAAAATACAAGAATTTAATTTTAAAATTAGTTATAAAAAACAAGAAATATTTTTGTAAATGATAATTTGAACAGATTTTACATGTATGAAAAAGACATTGTGAAAAGATGATAGATTTTAGAAGGAACAAACAAATTAAAAAAAAAATGAATTAAAATGTCAAGTTGTTTACGATAAGAAGAAGGTTTAGATGTTTGATAGCGGAATGAAGTGAGAAATTCGCCAGGAAGATGAGCGTAAAGATTAACTTCCGATTTTCACGTTATTTTATGTCATAGAAATAATAATACTATCTGTTATGAGTTAAGAAAAAAATAATAATGGTAGAAATAAAATTTAACATATGGGAGATTCTAAAAAGATGTTAGACGTTTCAAAAATACAATTGAAAAATTGGTAACGGCGGTAATTTTATTAGTATAACAAGATTTTAAAGAAAGATGGAATGAATTTAATAGAATTTAGGAAAGAAAAAGTAGTTGTAGTAGATATTTTAACTGAAGGCTATATGGCAAAATTTTGGCGGGTAAACAAGCATAATAGATTGTAAATATTTCAGGGGAATTATGTTAAAAAGGAAATATCTCAAGAATAGTAACAGATAATGCTAAAGATTTTTATGCTGTTCAAAGGTCTAATTGGTTAGAAAAATAAATTTATACACAGAAAAGTTATCATTATGTTAAATTAAAGCAATGGGATAATTATTTGAACAGTAAGAGAAAGTATACTGGAAAAAAAGCTAAGATTTGAGAATAAAATTTATGAAGCAATTGAGAAATACAACTAAAGCTTTGATGAAGAAATAAAATATATACTGTTACAAGCATCATTTTGTAAAACTGATATTGCTATGGCTAAAAGTAGCACTCAGGAGTTTTTGCGAATAGATTAGAAAGTTGGTATAGTGAACAATTAAAAAGCATCAGTAAGCTGATGTGTTGAAGAAAGAGGATTTGGTTATATGTAATAAATATAGTGTATGAAGATTTTTAGACTTGAGTGAGATGGTAGAAGTATGTTTATATGATTTTTATATAATATCAAGACCAAGAATGGTTGATAGGTATATTTGTCAAGAAAAGACATAGGGATTTAAAAGGAATTTGGATATTTAATTTGTTTGATAAAACTAATCATCTAGTGCTAAGATGTTATATACTATTATTTTATTATCTCCCTTATTATTTAAGCACTATTATTATATAGTATTTTACTAACATTTCTAAGCTCTCCTTTATTTAGACTTTTGTATTTTAATTACAAAAAATTTTATTTTAAAAGCAAAAATATGAATGTTTATGTCATTTTATTTTTTAAAAAACAAGTCCAATAAAGATAAGTTAAATTCAAAATGTTAATTTTCAAAATCCTTGTTATAAAAGTTATCGGATATACCGTTAAAACTTCCAAACTAATAAGTTTGACATGTAGGAGCACCACAATTTAAACGTTTACTTTAGCCATTTATGGAAATTATATTTAATTTGACGGGTTGTTTATATTAATTTACGTTGTTTAAAAGTAATGTAATATTTTTAAATATTTAATTGGGTCACTTTTTAATGCATAATCTATAGCTATTCAAAATATATATTTGAGATAACAAAAATACAAACAGTCGTGATATAAATAATAATTTTGTGTGTAAGTAAAATATTTAATATATTAAATAAAAATACTGAAACTAAATGTATAAGATTTAAATGGTTTAATAACTACTTCTCTTAAGAAAAAAAACTCCGTAAACAGATAAAATTTAACAAAGTAATTATGTGCTAGTCGTACCATGGCGCTTATATTCATAAAAATTGTCTTTCACGATATTTACACTCTATAAAATGATTTGAACAAACTGGTTAATGCACCTAATAACTGATAAAATATTAACTATTCCAGAATTTAAAATCTTACTTCTTATTTATGAAATGCCACATAAGGAAGAAGATCACAAATCGTATTAGAAGAATTTAAAAAGACTATTTTAGAATGAAAATTAATTAAATGCGAAGAAAAAATACATTTATACAATGATAGCATGATGCATCTGCACAAATTTTATACATCGATGTTTAGATTAACACAGTTTATAATAGTTAAAGAATATAATTCTTCTGCCAACAAATGATCAATAGTTTTAAAGAATGGTTTACATACTTGATGCTCAACCCAAAAATGTTGTTAAACATTACAATAGTGTGTGCAATTGGTCACCACTAATTATAAAAGAAGTTTTTTTGGCAATTAACATATTATCTGTCAACTCCAATAACTTGAAAAGATATTTTATTTGCAAAATTCACCTTTTTATTTTCTAGTAAAATTAAATCTTTTACCGTTTTTAAAATTGTTAATATTTAAAATTTTGTATCATACAAAATAAAATATGAATGTTAAGTAAAAATTTGTATAAAAATCAATCGTTTTTGTATAAATAAAACTACAATAAAATTTAGAGAATTAAAAAGTATTTTAAGTAACTTAATTCAAGAAAATTTATAAAAATTGTTTTTTAATTAAATTTTTAGCTGTTTGTGGTATAAATTACCACCCGAATTTTTCTCTCCTTTATAAAAAAACGTTTTTAAAATTTTTACTATAAATAAAAGTATTTTAAGATTTTTCAATTATAATTGTTAATTGAAAAATAACTACGTATCAATACACAATAAGAACCTCAGTAACCTGAATTTATCTAATATAAATCAGTCACAAGAAGCATTCGATAAAGCTATTTTATTGTTAACCAGTTTTTTTTGCATCAAAAAATAAGTGTCATAGAAAAATTTCTGGGCACTGGCCAGCTCTCTCCCAATATTGCCACATTGTTTTAAGCCAAAAATAATTTAAACAACTTTACGTAATTCATTTGGTTAAGCTTGTTTTTTTTTGCAGCACTTAATAAATTATAAAAGGACTAAAAAATTTAATTTTTGAGATAGCAAAAGCTCTGTCAACTATTAGGTGCAAAGTTCTAATTGGTAATAATTACTAATTACTGCACAATTTTGTATATAACAAAAAATATTTTTTACTCGTATTTTTAAATTTCGTAATGTAAAGACAGCGATAAAATCAGTTTAAAATAAAATGAAAAATGTTTCAGTAAAAATTTAGTCCTAACATAAAAAAATCTTTTACCAAGATTTTCTTTTATTTCTATCCTACACAAATTAATGTTTTTAATATTTAAATAAAGTAATGTCATAACAAAAGAAATATTATTTAAAATCAATTTCAATTTACTTTTATCATATAAAAAAATTTATTGTTTAGCTAACTTTGTTTTGTTTTAACACTATCAAATTTAAAAATAAGGGTAAAAAATAATTTTTTTTTTTTGGATATAAAAAAATTGTGCAATTGTTGTCGATTTTCTAAATTAAAAAAATTTAATTGTTCATTGATTAGTTCGTCAGATTTTTTCAAGCACCAACTTTTTAAATTGTAGAAAAATCATAGTTATTAATATTATTAAATCCTCAGCTTAACCTTTTGTAACTTTTTATTTAATTTGCTGCTTAATCTTCTTCTCTTGATTTTTTCTTAAATAATTAAATTTAAAAGTTTTATCATATTCAGTGACTTCTATAGCTGGTAACTTCATAAACAATGTCACTATTTTACAAATCTAGTTTTAAATTTTATATCCGTAAAATTTAATTAAATCATTTTTCAGGTATAATTAAAGTATTTTAATATATTTTTTAATTAATTTGGTGTTTAAAATTACTTATACATAGAAATTTTCCGAAATTCTTATCAACTTTTTTGTATTTTGATCACATTTTACAAATTAAATTTTATTTTTTTTTCTATTTAAATAACTTTTTACCCTCGCTATATGAAAATCATTACATTTCTTTTTATAAACGTGTTAGGATTTAAACTACAAGCAGCTTTTTATTCTGATGTATTCTTAAAATACATCAATTTATTTGATTTAGATTTAAATGAGGGCATAGAATGTTCAAAAATGAAAGAAATTGTTGATTTTATGTGTGGAAAGGGCATGATCAAAATGTGGGAACCTTACCGGCATTCAAAGTATTATAGTTCAGGGGATAATACTGAAAAAGAATCTTTAATGAAACAAGCTCACAATATTGCAAGTGCTACATTTACAAAACTAGTCACTAAAATTATATTTCTAGTAAATGGCAGGCTAGTGATAGAAGAAGATTTGCCAATTTTAAAAATGTTATTTAGAATTATTAGATGTAAGAAAAATACTTGGAAATGTATTAATACACTAAATGAACAAATTAAAATTTATAAAAATTGTGATAATTGGGATTGTTCTGAATCTCACACGTGTCCTGTTCTAAAAAGAGAGGATTTTATTAAATTTCGCAATGCATGTAATGAATTAAAACATTATGAGGATCAACCTATACTAGCTCTTACTAAACAAGCAATATTTTTTTATATTAAAGATGATCCAAAAGTTAGTGATGAAGATTTAGATAATTTTTTACAACAAGATGATGGTCTTATTTTTGAATGTAGTAAAGAGATCAAAGAAGCCCTACAAAATGTTAAATCTTTTAGTGGAGACATGGTTATATTTGAAGGAAAGTATGTTGGGTTTATTCACTATCTACATTAAAAATCATTTACGATTTTATTAGTCTATTGTATAAATTTTAATGTTGATTATGCATACAACTTGTTGTTAACTAATGTAAAGTTTATCTATTAAATTGAAAAGATTTTACAATAACAATTGTGCAAAAATAAGAAATTTAATTTGAAAAATACAATCAAAGCAATTTACAGTCTTTTTGTAGATAACAGTAATGTAAATGTCACGAATTTGAAAATTTAAAAAGTTAAAATAAGTTATTTGCGCATTTAAGTTAGATGCTAAACTTAGAGTGATTTTCTAAGAAATTTATTAAATAAATGATTTTAAAATAACTTTATTGGGTGTTTTTTGATTTTTTTTTTCTATAAATATAATATCGGTTTAATAAATAATTTTTTTTGAAAAAGAAGCAATAAACAACGCATTTTTGCTTGTCTTTTAAAAAATTTGTTAAACCTAAAAAACAAAACTTAAAGTTAAAAAGAGACAGAATTTATACAAAATTTTTACATATTTAAAATTGTGTTATTTATTTAAAAGTTTTATAGCAAAGATAAAAAAATCTTTAAAATAATTTAATTTAAGTTAATTCTAATATTTTTAGTAATTCAAGCGGATTTTTTTTAAAAAAAAGCGTTAAATGTCTCCTTGGCATTGATATCTTTAAAAAATTTTTATTTTTTTTGCTCGCAAAGACCCTCTCTTTTGTACTTACTTTATAAATTTATGACATGCTTAGAGTTAAAATACGTTTCTAAAATATTTTATGCAATTTTTTTTATTTACATGATGATTTACAGTCTTGAACACTTTCTTACCCTGGTCTCTAATATCTGTCAGTTCCGGTGTGTTTCATATTTCTTATCTCTGAAGATCAAAATAGGGCTTGTTTCAAAAAAAACGAAACATAAATTTAACAGTATAAACTGATTAAAATAATTATCTAATTCAATCGGTTTATTCTAAAAAATTGTTTAAAGAGCCTTGTTTATTTTATTTTTCTCAACTGATGTAAAAAGTGTGATTTTCTGTTTTTTATAAAAAAAATATTTCAAAATATGACTATTGTGTTTAAAGAAATTAGAAAATGTTCTGTAAATTTTTCCTTCAAATCTTATTTATTTTTTAATTTTTTTTATTTCCCGATACAACTTACGGCTGAGCATAGATTAAAAATTGTTTGCTTACATGGCCAAAAAATAACACAGGGCAAAATAGTCGAACAAATTGGTGTGTCTAAGAGCACTGTATTAAGACTCTTTTCTAAGTACAAAGAATTAGACTACTTGTGCATTTAAAAGGAAATGTAAGGCCAAAGACTCTTTTAAAGGAAGATATTAATACTATTTTTGCTATAAATATTAAAAAACCTTAAACTTCTTTGAGATAGTTACTAGTTAGGTTTTAAAAAAGAAAAGATCTTATTTAACTATAAAATAACACTTAATTATTATGGTTTTGATATATACCTGACAACAAAAGGCCTGTCCTATCAAAAAAAAATATTTTAGCAAGGAAAGAAAATTTTGAAAAAATTATATACACGTCTGATGAAACTATAAAGACCGTAACTTTTTCCGATGAAAGTAAATTTAATCTTATTGAAATTGATAATAGAGTTTCTACTTTAAGAAAGCCGTGTACAGGTTTTTCTTCAAAAATATTGTTGCTACAATTAAATACGAAGGAGACTCTGTAATAGTGTGAAAATATTTCTCATACCATGGAATAAAGAAACTGGTTTTTTAAGATAGTATTATGAATTTTGTAGCATATGTGAATATTTTGGCTAACAATCTACGTTCGTTAGCCAAGTAAATGGGAATACAAACATTTATTTTCAACAAGTTTGATCCGAAACATACATCAAGACTTGCCAAGACTGATGTATCGAAAAAAGAATCTAGTTGCTTTCTTGGCCACAAAAATCTCCAGATAAAACCCAATAAAAACACTTTGTGTCATTAAAAACAGAAATTTTCTAAATTTTTTATAAAAACTAAGGAAGAGTAAAAAGCTGCTTTACAAGTGTGTTGAATTTAATAACAGTAGAAACTTGTCAAAAACTAGCGTTAAATTTTAAAAAAGAGCTATAAAATGCTATGAAGCTTCGGATCTTTACACACGGTATTAAGTTTTTAAATGTAGTTCTTTTTTGGAACACTTTTTTATAAAAAACAGAAAACTAAACTTTTTACAATATTAAAAAAAAATATAAAAAATTAAGCTCTCTAAATAATTTTTTTATATAAACTCAAAAAACCAGGTAAATTTATTGATCAATTTATACCAGAAAATTTATGTTCGTTTTCTTTGAAACAAGTTGTATGTATTTATAATTTCTATTGTAAATACAACAAGCAAAAACAACATTATTTATTTAATAATAAACAATACATTATTAAGTATACCACAATATGCTTCAGTTCAAAGAGCTTAACAATTAGATAACTGCTCTTTAGATATAAAAGAAAATTATTTAGTTTAAGTTACGTTTTTGTCATCAATATATAAAATATTGTCAGATTTGACAAACCTCTCAAAATAATTTAGTTCGGAGCTCATGTTTTCAATAAAAATTATGCTATTTATATTTTTAGTGAAACAAGCGTTTTGTTCTGATAGGTGAATAGCTTTAAGTCCCAGTTTCTTAGAATTAACAAAGGTAAAATTTGAGAAAAAACATCACATAGTTTCCAATCTAGATCTGGACCTACGACAAATATAGTTTATTTTTTGACATTGCTGTGCCCACTGGACAAGACTTGTCTTTAAAATACCGTCCATAACAGTTAAAGTTGTATTATTATAAATTTTTATCTCAAAACTACATTCATATTGTTTTTTTAAGCTCATGCCTCTTCTTGTGCTATAAACTTTTTCATTATTTCACATTTTTTATTAAAGTCTTTTAAATATGTATTTTATTGGTTTTCTTTAAAAGGTAACATACTATTATAAGAGTCATAAGAAACGATTTGAAATTTTTATTAGGATAGAAGCATACATTCAATCAATAGTATTAAAGAAAACCCGCGGAAAGTATTTTTTGTGATTATAGAAGGCAAGGTGTCATTGACCAAGTAGATGGTAGTGATGAAAGGCTAGTGACTTTAAGCTTGCCAAATTATGGTAGAGTTTTAATTTCTAAATAAAAAAGAAAACAACTTAATTGTTTTATAAAAATAATTTTTTTTAGTTTTTTTTATATTGTTTGTGAAAAATTTTCACAATCAAAATGTAAAACTTCATATTACTGGCATAGCAAAAGAATATGACAGGCGTCCTGATTCATATCGACTATACAATTCTCAGATTTGCTATTATTTAATCTAATGTGAACTACTTTCCTTAATATTCTTTAAATCATTTATAAAACCCGTATACATTCTATATGTTGACCATAATGATACTTACGGTTCCTCAATTAAACTTATCAATTTCAACAATGATATTTGGCTACTGATTTCTAGTTTCTTATAATCTTATTATCTATTAATAAAAAGCTTTTGATATGTAGCTTTACAAACGCTTATAAAAAAATTATAGCTAAACTTTAATGTTTATATAAACAAGAATAGAATCTCACATTCTTTTTCAAGTTAATTTTAAATTACAAAAAGATTTTCTATCAATTAAAACGCGTTCCTTCTTACACTTACTTCGAGTTCTAAATAATAGTTTTTTTTTATAATGGTTTAAATCGCCTAAACATACATTTTCGGATGCTACTCTTCATGACAAATATCTCACAAATCATTATTATGAAATGGTTAACATGCTTACATTTGTAATGTTATTTTAAATAAACCCATGTTTTCTTTATTCATACTTTTAGTAACAACATAAATTACAGGATATACTTTTTACTATTTTGTAATCGTGATGTATCAATACCACATGTTAAGAAATTTAATTTATTTTTTCGCCCAAAAAGTATAATAAAAAATTTTTTGCAGTGTCAAAAAAGTTGTTTTAAATTAAAAGGAATTATGATCTACTAAAAAAATTTTATTAAAATTTTTATTGAGTACTACCTAACCACAGGAAAAAGATCTAAGGATTCTACGGTACAGAATATTATATAATATTTCATTAACACTTTTACATTTTCTTTTATTTTAATTTTTGTTCAAAAGGTTTAAATTTTTACTTAACAAGCTAAATATGTTATTTAACATCTACTTACGCCATTTATATAAAATATTTTATTGTAACGGTTTACATCAATCTTATGGTTTTATAAGTAACAACATTATAACGTATTTTTATACTTAAATTTAAAGTTTAATCTATAGTTATGTAAAATGTCTAATTGCGCAAACATAAATGCATACTATCATTATATGTAGTAACATTAGGGATTAAATACACAAGTATGTTGTAACTAAACGCTTTAATTACAACTTCATAATTAAAAAACTTTTAAAAAGGCAATTTATTTTTTTTACAATTATGAAAATGTGCTAAATCGGAAAACCTTTCCTATCAGTAAATAATTTTAAGTATTAATTTTAAATAAATAGCTTTATTATAATTCTTTTATTTTTTTAAAGCATTTTGTCTATTTTCTGCAATAATCTTTAAAATCTTCTTAAAAGAATTTTGTTAATATTTTATAATAATTTTAAACTAATTTTTTGAAGGTTGATGTAAGATTACCATCAACAAAAAAAATCTATTTTTATATCCTTTAAATTTACTAATGTAGTTAATATGTGGTATATACTGTTTGAAATGATTCTCATACGCTTTAATTTATAATTTTAATATTGCAAAATTTAATTATTATTTTTGTTATTATCTTTGCAAATTTTAAGTTTTTGTTTAATATAACAATACATCATAAAATATAATTTTTTTCCTTTTCTGTAAATTTTTGCAAAAAAACTTGTCTTTATTTATTTTAATGCATATTTTTAACCTAATTAAAAATAAATGTAAACCTAAGAAGTTATGTAAAGGAGAGCAGTTAGAATACAAAATATTAGAATAAACAATTTAAAAAGGAGTTTTTAATCAAATTTAAAAACTTCCATAATTGGTAATTTCTCAAATATTGTTTGTAATCTAAAAATATTACACATTTTTAAAATAATTTTGTTAAAAATTTTTATATTTGTTAAGTTGATTAAATTTTTAAGTATAATAAAAATATTAAAAAATATTCTTCGATTGATTTTTTACTAAAGAACGCTTAAAAAGAAAAATTTTTAAAAAATTCTTATCAACTTTTTATTATTTTGATCACATTTTTACAAATTAAATTTTATTTCTTCTTCTATTTAAATAACTTTTTACCCCTGTTATATGAAAATCATTGCATTTCTTTTCATAAACGTGCTAGGATTTGAATTACAAGCTGCTTTTTATTCTAATGAAATATCAAAATACTTCAATTTGTTTGATTTAGACTTAGATGAAGGCATAGAAGGTTTACAAATGACAAAAGTTATTGATTATATGATTGAAGGAGAAATAATTAAAAAATGGGAATCTTACCACCTTTCAAGATATATTAGTACAGGAGATTATAATGAAAAAAAAATCTTAAAAAAAAAAGCTCATAACATTGCAAGTGTTATTTTTGATAAATTTGTCACTGAATTTATATTTCTAGCAAATGGCAAATTAATAGAAACAGAAGATTTGCCAATTTTAAGAATGTTATTTAGAATGATTAATTGTAGAAAAAATAACTGGAAATGTATTGATAAACTTAATTCAGCTATTAAAATTCATGAAGAATACGGGAACTGGTCTTATATTAATCCTTATGACAGTATTTCTAATAAAAAAAAGAATTTAATAAAATTTCGTGATGCATGTAATGAATTAAAACATTATGAGGATCAACCTATACTGGCTCTTACTAAACTGGCAATATGTTTTTATATTAAAGATGATCCAAAAATTAGTGATGAGGATTTAAATAGTTTTTTAAATCAAAATGATGATCTTATTTTCGAATGTAGTGAAAAGATCAAAAATAGCTTTCTAAACGTTTATCATTTTAGTGGAGATACAGCTCTTTTTGAAGGAAAGTATGTTGGGTTTATTCACTATCTACATTAAAAATATTTATGATTTTATTAGTTTATTGTATTAAGTTATGTTTTTTATGCAATTGACGTAACCCGTTCTAAGGTACGTTTCAATAATTTTGATAAAGTTTTGTTTAGTAGTAAATTGTTTATTAGTAGCAGTAGTATTAGCAGTGTTCCTTTTAATAGTAGTATTATGATTGTAATTTCTAGTGTTCATATTCAACAGATAAAATCTCCTAAAAAAGTTATCTACGAAATAAACGTTTCATTAATGACCTATTTGTCCTGTTTCATATTAGAAACGTTTCAGGCGGTCAAATGCACCGATAAAATTTTACATGTGCTTCGGGGTATCATAACAATATAATTTGGCGTTTAACTTTTATAAAAAATGTATTTATAAACCTTTTGTACACACTTGGGCAAATCGGTAAATTTTATCAATCAACAGCCTATTTCTAAATATCAGTTGTTGGAATTGAACCTGTGTTTATTGTTAGAACATATATAAACAGTCAAAAGTCAAACATAAAAATAATTTCATAATTGTTTGACATATTCAAATTTACTATCCATACGCAAGTAAATACTGCCTGAATTTAAATTATTCTTAATTTTTTATTGGTTTTTTAATTATGATTTCTTTGACTAATTTTGAATATTATCGTAAACATAGTCGATTTTTAAAACTTTCTCCTCTTTTTTTTATCAGAGTTGTTAAATAAAAATATCGTTGTAAACATGTTATATATAGTAAAAGAACATTATACAATATATCTTTAAAATTCAATATTTATAAAACAATGCATGTAAATTTTAATTTAAAATTTAAAAAAAAACAATATGAAATTTAATGATTAAAGTTTTGTAAAATTGTAATTATGAAAACTCGCAACAAAATATTCTGAAATTTGTAATTGGAAACCGTGTAGTAATAAACGCAATTAAAGATTATCGTTTTTTTAAATTCTTTTTGGCGTCTCAAATGAAGATTAGCACGAAAATTTTTATGATGTAAAGTATATTGTAGAGAAGAAAACAAAAATGAATAGTTAAGATATTTTGTCCTTTATGTTTTAATAACTTTAGTATTATTTTGTCAGTTAAAAATTTAATTATATGCACTCAGAGAAGATGTCGAAATTTTAATTTTTTGTTTTGAACCAAATTAGCACTTTTGCAAGTTTTTGAAGTCGTTGTGTTATCTTCGTAAAACACTTACGTTTTTTAAATAGCATGAGGCTGACGGCTTTAAGTAAACAGTCGATTAGAAAATTATCAGAGTTGGGTCATTTTGTACCAATAGATTTATTAGTCGAAAAGATTTAATCTTAGATCAATAAAAGTAAATTTGGCAAGCGTAAGTATAATGAATAATATAGAGTCGTGATAATGAAATTTTGAGTATGGTAAAAAGAACACATTTTAAAAGTAGTTTTTTACCAGTTAGAAAACGCTATAAGGCTACTCTTCACATCTTAATTTAATTATATGTAAAAAAGGAAGTATTATTTATACTAATTGTTGGAAAAATATATGAAAGTGCAAATGATTTTAAGTACAAACATCTTACGGCGAATTATAATAAGAATTTTTAAAATACTAATAGGAATTTTCATACTTATACAATTAAAGGCTTTTGGTTTACAATTAAAAGAACAATACCAGCCAGAAATAGAAATATAATACAATTTACTTTTATCTTAATTTATTTATGTTCTTAGGACAACATATTAATGATAGATTTGAAAGATGATTCAACTTTTATTAAATAAATAAAATTTAATATTCTTGCATTTAAATATATTTTTAATATTACAAAATGCACAAAAAAGAGATAAAGAAAAGGTGTTAAAAAATAAAGTTGTACTCCCTCAATCTGTCTATTGGACGTTCTCTTTAACATTTGTAATTGTATAAAATCTTATAGTTTATTCTTTAAGATAAAAAGTTATTACTATAAAATACGCTTTTAATCTTAGACCTTAGTATAAAAAATTGTTCGTAAAGATTAAAATGGTTTTTAACCTGCTATTTATTTAATTGTTTTTAAAAATTAGCTGAGAATTTAGTAATATAAATATTTGTGATGTATATTTATTTGAAAATTTGTGTGCGCTTAAAGTAATCGACAAATTAACGCAACTCCTATAAAAATTAATTAATAAAAAAATTAATTATATATTATATATATATTTATTTTCTTGGAAGTTTCTAACGAGTCAGTATAAAATTGCATATTTATTTTCTGTTTTCTTAAATAGTTACATTTAAAAAATCTCTGAAATTGTGAAATTTTATTTGTGTCTTTACGTACGAACTATTTAAATATGTAATTCACCTATAATTAGTCATTATGAAAAAACCATATTTAATGTTTATGGTTTCATTCTACATTAAAATAGATTGTTAATTTTTAATATTTAAAAAAATTTTAATGCTTATTCTAGTCATTTAAGCACCTTATAATTAAAAGTGCAATCTTTTTGGCTACTAAAAATAAATAATAATTATTCACGAGAAGGGCATGGAAAAACTCAATAAAAAGTATTGCAACACAGCTTATGGCATTGCTTAAGAAAAAATTTTCTTAAAATATGTTAAATCGAAATTAAAGTTATCTTTTACAAATTACCAAGAGAAGGTTTAAGAAGTTTTTTAAAATTGCTACTGTCTAACAGAAATTAATGACTTTGATATTTTGTTTAGGTAAAATTTAAAACGTTTTGCCGACAATGAGAAAACTAGGAACTGTATAGGCGCAGGAAAAAAATTAAGAGTGATTTAAAGAATGTTAACCGAGAGCGATAATCACTTAAAGATAAAAAATTAAGAATTTCTTTTATTAATAAATCACTGTTTAAGTAAAAATTTTGATATAAATACAAACAAAAGTTCATAAAATAATCTTAAAAAGCATACTAATGGTTACCCACTCGAAATTTTAGAGCAGGCCTGAAATAAGGAGGAGAAGGTCGAAAAAAAAGAAACAATGCGATGAAAGATTATATTTTGGAAGCTTAGTTGACGACCCTGTAGAATTAATGTAAATTTAAAAATTATATCTTGATTGCAGTAATATTCTAATATTTTTAACCAAAAACTAAGCAATCTTTTTACATTTTCAAAAGACTACTTTACGATATAAAAATGTATCCTTGAAATTTAAATTTTTAAAATAAATGAGTAAGAATATTTTTATTTGTAATTTAATAAAATTCAAATATTTTTATTTAGAAACAAATAATTAAATTTCAACGTTTTTTTCCAAAATAGTAAACTAAAAAATTTTATACCCTTTATTTTAAAGGAGAAAACGTTTTTTGATTACGCTTAGATATTTAGTTGAATATAAAGTCAAAAAGAACTAGAAGAAGTTGCAGAAAAACTTAATTTATATCTTTTTCATGTCTCTAGAATAATAAAGATTATTATAAAAAACAGTTGTTTGAACTATGTATATCGTTCCCGTAGAATTTTTATTAAATGATAATAATTTGCTGTTCTTAACAAAAAAAATTTATAAAAGGAGCAACCTAACTAGCGGAAAAATTATACTAAGTCAAAAAGGAAAATATTATGACTTTTGTTAAAAATTAATTTATTTGGGTTGGTAATGCAGGAAAGAGTCTTTAAACTATTTTTTATAAACAAAAAATCAAAATAGATGAAGACTTGCAACGAAAGGGTGTTACAAAGAGAAAAATTACTTTAAAAGTATTATATGGAATGATAAATCTAAAATATCATTATTTGATTCATTCAAACAGTTAATTACTACCGAAAAGATGGTTTGTGGTATCATATGAAAAATTTAAAATCTTCTCTTAAGCATGATGGTGTTTTAGTTGTAGTGTGGATATTTTTTTGAGAAAGATGTTAGAGATATCCACATAATTAAAGTAAAATAGAAATAATTAACACGTTATAATTCTTAATGATAATTTTTAAAAGTACTGAATATATTAGTAAAAACTTTTTTTATAGGGTGTTGATAAAAAGCTTAAAAAGGAAGTTTTTAAATTAAATAACATAATAGCAATTGATTGGCCATTATAATCTCCTCACTTAAATGCAATTGAGAAACTGTGGTATGTTTAAAAGAAAAATTTTGTGTAAAAATATTTAAGAATTAGAACTTGCTGTAGTAGAAAAATGGAAAAAGATACTCAAAAAACTGTGTCAAAAGTTGTTTATAAATTAGGAAAAAAAGATATGAAGCAATACTTAGACGAAGAGATCATACAAGTTTTTAAAAATTTATTTTTTTTATAAAATTACATAGTTTTTTAATATTTAAAAATTACAATACACTTAAAAATGTATTTAAAACAAACATAAAATGTTAGTTATAAATGAATTAAAACATTTGGATTAATTTAGAAAAAAAGAAATTTAATTTTTAAATTTTGCTACTGTATATTCTTTACTGATGCAGGTTATAAATAAACCTATGGTTTATTTTAATATTGTTAAAAGATATACAGGTATTTATGTTAAATATTATTTTTAAAATAATAGTATTAAACTTAATTTATTAATAACATTAAAATGTTATTTAAATACAAAATTTTCTTTATGTAAGAATATGTTTTAATATGTCACATAAGTTATCTGTAGATTTTTTGCATAAGTTATCTGTAGATTTTTCCTTTATGCTTTAGATACAATAATATATTTGCCATTTTTATTTTAATAAATTTAAATATTATAATTATCTTTTTTAGATTTTTGATAATTAATTTAAAAAGAGTATAGAAGTTAATAATCTTTGGCTTTTATAATATTAATCTTGACATAGAGGAATGTGTGAAATAGATCTGTACAACCAAGGGTAAAAGAAATGTTTAATTTACTAATTTTTATTTGTCACATTAAAATACAACTATCTCAATAAAAATATCATTGTGATAAGTTTTCTATTGCTGTCTGTATTTTATCAAGCAATACTCCACTGGTTCGTGATAATTGCAATATTATGTCTTTAAATCCTTCAGAATTTAATTTTAAAACGCGTTCTTTATACCCCTCATCCTTCCAACTTAAATTTATTATAATCCAAACTAAAGGTAGCTGTAATTCACTGATTATAAAAAGGTCTTTTAATCTTTCTAATACACTGTTATTATTTAAAACTTTATCTCTAAATTGGATGTCATATGCACAAACATTTCCTATTGCATACAAAAGATGTAAAAGTATTTGTGTGGTATTATTTTCTTTTAAATGTAGAAATAAAGTGTCTGTTAAATAATCACCAATAATTAATTTATCACAAAATATATTTCGTATCAAATTAAACAATACTTCATATATCTGTTCATCGTACTTGTTAAAAAAATTTTTAAACCAAATATCTCCACGCTGCAAGAAATCTTTTTTACTTTCAATATCATTGTCATACAAATAATTTTTATACAATCTTAATACTTCAAGTGTGTATTTATCTAAATATCTTTCTAATACATGTGACCCGTTTAAAGATTTAAAAACTGCACGATAATTTCCAAATTCAAGTAATAGATTTGTTAGAATGTTTAATAATACTGTTATATAATCAGTCTCTAAATCTTTATAAATATAATTGTAATCAATACTATATTTCTCTTTATTAATCTCAATATAAGTATTTATATCAAATTTATGGTTAGTATTATCAGACAGGAAATCTAATATTATTTCTATAACAGGATATTTAATTAACTCACTCCTAAGAATAAATACAGATCTACTTAAATTGTGAAGAAGTAAAAAATAAGTAATGTGTATATTTTTTCTTTTAAGATATTTAAATAGATTAGAAAGATCTATAAGCTTTTTGTTTTCTTCGGAAGATAATGTTAATATATAATCTAAATAAATATTATGATTAATAAGAACTTTAGGTTGATATCTCATCATTTTTATACTTAAATCATTTTTACTTAAAAAGTAAGCTAAATAAACTAGAAAATTTTTTTCATAAATTGTATCTGTTTTTAATATGGATCTATCAAAATTTTTGATTAAAAGTAAATTTAAAACATTGTATTTATCTTTAGTACTTACTGAATCTAATACCTGAATAAGACTTTTTGTGTCTAAATTAATAAATTTATCACTAATCGAATTTCTAGCTGCTGTAACACAATCACATTTGCGATTATCTGCTAATATTTTACAATAAATTTGATTATTCTCTGTAAAATTATATTTTTCTATAATATTCTTATAGATCCTTAATATTTTAATGTCACTAAACTTATATGGGAAAGATATATTAGAAATATAATCTTCTAAAAATTCTAAAAATCTTTTAGGTATTTTTAGTAGATAAAATATATCAGATAATACTGCTACATCTTGAGACTGTAAATTTGAATACAAACTATAATTTTCATCTACTATATTATTTTTACGAAGAATCTGCATCAATTCTTGCTCGGGATTGCGCATTCTATGTGCCACAAAGGGTATTCTATTTCTAAATCTTAAAAGTTCAAAACAATATTCTACTATATAAGTATCATAGCCAATGTAAATGTCTTCACTTAAAGTATGATTTTTTGTTACATTGGTCATGTCTTAGTAATTTTTCTTTGTTAAATAGCATAAATTTTTGTTTCAAATGTTATCACTAAAATTTGTGGTTAACCAATTATTTATGCATGATTTTTATTTTATATAAATTTAATTAATTTGTTAATAAAATACAACAAACTTTAAAATGCTTTTATGCAAAAAAGCTTATAAAACTTAATGTTTTATGCAAAAGAAATATTATCGATGCAGGCTAAAACGGACATTTCATTGATTTATTATTTATCCACGACTAATAACATTAGACGTATTAATAGAAAAGATATTTTAAAACTAAATATTAAAAATGCATTGATAAATGTTTTAGATCAAACATTTGCATTAAGGCTGTATGGATATATTTTAAAAGGCGTGTCTAAACTTTACTTATTAAAAATTAAATATTACGAACATGAAGTAACAGGATTGCTCAATTTACTTAAAGTTCGCCTTGATAAAAAAAGAAATATTAAGAAACATTTTATTAATGACTCTAGTAGTTCTGATGTCGAAGATTTATATGATGGTGGATTATGTAGTGCAAATATAAAACCCAAACAAGAAATTGCTATTAAAGACAATATGTGTATGACGGATAATAGTGAAATGTCTTTAATTCCATATCTACAAAGCTATAATTGTGATACATTAGATTTTTCAATTAAGTTATCAAAAAAATTAAATTTTAATATTGAAGATACAGAAATAGAATTGGAACCCAGAAATAAAGAAAAAAGATTTAGAAAATCACATTCCGTATACAAATTTATCGATGTAAAGACTTATCCGATATTTTCTTATGTTGATCGCTGTACTTATAAAGATTCATTAGAAATACAAAGAAATATTACAACTTCAAATGTACCCTCACAAATTATAAGTGATACAATGTCTGAGGTATTTTATAAATATAATAATGATGACATGTACCTTGAAACTTTGAATTTTAGCAGTAAGATTGAAACAGAAAATGGAAAAAAATATAATGAGTTATCAGACAACATAATATTCTCTTCGAGTTACAAGTTAGATTTATGCGATCTAGTAGGCGAAAAATGTTTTTTTTCTGAAATTGTATTTGGAACAAATAGACATAAGGCAATAATGTTTCATGAATTACTTGACTTATTAAGTAAAAATGTTTTAGAAGCATTTCAAGACTCGCCAAGTTCAGATATATTAATATCGAAAATTTACTAACAATAAATTAAATGTATTTTCCTGTTCTATAATCCTAAAATTATTTGGTTCACATAAATATAAATCTGTTTTTTTCATTTGTACTTTCTTTTCATAAAATTAATTGTATTTCAAGTTACGCTTTATAATTATACAGAATATCTGCGCCTTCGAAGTTTATTTTTATTCTGATTAAAGTGCGTATCAAATATTCCATTTGATTTCCATTCTTTCAAAATTTTTTTAGCAGAAGAATATCCCGTTGCTACAATTTTATCAAATTTTTTAAAATCCATCGTGTGAATATCCTCTAGCTCGGGTCTCATCACAAATACTTGATTGTTCTTTTCTAGTGCTTTAAGCTTTTTTTCAGATGTTAAAAATGACAGTCTGTATTGAATTTCTTGCATTGTTATATATTTACGAACATCAAAAAATTTATGTATTAAACCAACAAATCCATTAAAACATTCTTCATGTTCGTCATAATCATTTTCTTCAATGGTTCCAACATCAACGGCAATAATTTTGCTAACATTCATATTTAGCATTATATCTGCCGGAACATTATTAAGATACCCACCATCAACAAGATATCCTTTAGAATCAATGATGGGTGGAACATAGCCACATAAACCCATACTAGCTCTAATAAATTTCCAAGCAAGTCCAGAAATATGTACTTCTTCTTCGTTGGTAAACAGGTTTGTAGTTACACAAAAATATTCAATCCATAAATTTTGTATTAAATCATTTTTAAAAATCTTTTTTAATCCATTGTTTAACGTTTCTCCCCTAAATAAAGACATTAAAGGAAATGTTAAATCGAGAAAAACTCTCAGAAGAGAATTGGCTCTAGAACAAAATTGTTTGGCTTTTAAAAAAACAAAACCATTATCACATTCTTTACAATATAATGCGCCTATAAATGCCCCCATACTACTTCCACCAATTATATCAATTGGAATATTCTCTTCTTCTAATGCCTGAATTACTCCAATATGTGCAATGCCCCTTGCTCCTCCACCACTTAATACAAGACCTATTCTTTTATTCATAAGATACCTGCTTAATCTATCATAGTCTTTTGAAGAAAACAGTATTGTTTTATTTGGACTTAATATGTTATGTATTTTAAGACAATTTAAATTATTGTCATTTCGGGGTTTGCTTTTTTGTGTTGGTTTTTGCTCGTATAATTTAACAAATTCGACATTAGTATAAAAATTTTTATCAGTCTCTGAATTTTTATCATTATAAAATGTAGTATTAAAATTTATATCCCATCCATATCCAACAACTAAGACTACATCACTGAATTCATGTAAGAACTTAGCTAAGCGGCTAAACTTATTTTCTACATTAATTAAAATTAAACTATGGGTTCTTGAAAGTCTGTTTAAAAATTCACTTACCCGCAATTCTTCAGAAATATCAAAACTAAGAAAAAAATCTTTTTTGTCTAAAAGAAGACAATCTTTACCAATCGAAGCTTTGAGTCTTTTACTAAATAAACGAATATTTGTATCATTGTTGTTTGGTAAAACACTAACAATTTTATTATTTTTAGAGATTCCTGTTTTTTTATGTAATTTCTTATAAAAATTTATATCAAAGTGTAACATATGTCGTATTATATATTCATCTATGTAAATAATATCACTAAGCCGCTTGACAATAAGAGTATTATCCTTTTTTTGCAAGGATCCTTCATTAAGATAAATAATCTTTTTAAAAGCTTCTGTTTGACAAAATTCTGAATTAGCAATAGTATCATTAATTCTAAAAATTCGCCAATCTGTACATAAATCAATATAATGTATTATAGTACAAAAATTTTTTAAATATTCTAGCCTAAAATTTTGTAGATCAAGACCACTCCTTATAAGATATTCATAGCTTATTGCTTTTAGAATAACTGGTTCTTCACACTTAATTTCAATTTTTCGGTAGCAATTAAAAAATAAACTAAAATATCCAAATATGTTTCCTTCCCTGCAATAAAATACTTTATCATTGTATTTCAGGTGTATTGTTCCCTCTTCAATTAAAAATAAATTTTCCATGTATATTTCTTTTTTCTTAATCACTTCATTATTGGTATAGCTCAAAACTTTTGTGTACATAGAAAAATTTTTCTTAAAGTTCAAAATATTAAGCATAAAATGTTGTAATTGAAATTTTCGATTTACTTTGTCGGTAAAAAACAGCTTATTAAGCTCTAACTCATTTTCTATAAATAGATCTGGATAATCAAATTGTTCAACCAAGACATCAATGACTTTCTTTTTTATACTAGTAAGTAATACAAATGTGTTGATTTTAGATTTGTCGATTTTCCAAATAACACACGGTTCATTTGCAATAATATGCACATTTTCTTTATTTATACCAAAAAAATCTAATGCATAAAAATAAAAATCATTTTGTTGTTTTTTACAAACAAACTTTTCTTCATGTGTGATTATAACTGACCCTTTTTCAATAAAAAACATTTCACTTTTATTTATAGTCTCACCTGTATTAAGTTTTATAATATCATACTTTAAATCTTTTGTATACTTCAAATAAGGCACATTTTCAGTTGGCTGGATGTACTTTAAAGATTCTTTCGTTGTAAAATGATCTTTATGTGTGTATGTATGCTTTTTTCTTTTGGTTATAATTCTTTTCAAAATGAGAATAGATGTAACAATAAATATAAAAATATACAAAAACATTAAGGGTATTTAAAGAAATTTTTGTTAAAATGATTTCCTAATTAAAAGCATTAAACAACTTATTGGCAGATAAGATTAATAACATATTTTATAGTTTAAAGTAATACTAAAAAATTCTTTTTAAAATCATAATAGCAAATCAATCAAATTCATTTTATTTCTAAAAATTTTACTTTACACTGTGATAAAAGCTTAAGGTTTCATTTGTCTAAATGTTCAAAAAATAAATACAAAATAGATTTTAAAAAAATAAATGCAGTTAAGATTTTATCAAATAAAAAGATTAGGTTTTTTAATTTAGAAAATAATATGATCTTATCCTTTTTGCAAAAAAATTAATTATTATTTAAGAGTTATTAATTCAAAAATTTTACTCTTTTATGTCAAAATTATGTTTTAGCTTTAAGAAAAGCAAGTTGATATGATCAAATGTTTTAATTTAGGTTGATAAATAGTTAATTAAATTAAATAATAAAGAATTATAAAATTCAAGTAATTATACAACAAAACAAGGCATAAAATCTTCTTTTTGTCATATTTTTTAAAGATCAAATTTTAATGTAATTTATTAAAAATTTATGACAACTATTAAAATTTTAAGGGTAGTGTTTATTTAAAAGGTTTTAATAAAAGATTTTACTTTAATAAAAAGTTTTGACATCTAAAATATTTTTTAATATAAAATTTCATTAATTTATTTTTAATTACGATAATATAAAAAAAATTAATTTGTAGTTTACTGTCATCTAAAAGAATAATTTGTTATTAAAAATATTTTTTAATATAAAATTTCATTTATTTATTTTTATTACATTGATATTAAAAAAAAGGTAATTTCTAGAGTATTGTCATCTAGTAAAATAACACAATAAGACACAATTTTTTTAATACAATATTAAAAACTTTTATTTAAAATTATGATGACTTGTTTTTTGGTCTACAATATAAACCTAACAATTTTCAATTTGTAATGCTAGTATAAAAAATAAGCTATTTAAAGCAAAACAACACTTTTTTATTCCAGAAATAACAAATATTAATTAATAAAATTATTTTTTAATAAAGTTGAATATCAGTTAAAAAATCCTCATATTTTTCATAAACACGAACTTCTTGATTGCAAAATCCAATAATTTTGTCAAAACTTCCCAAATAGTCAAAATTATGAATAATAAATAAGACAGTTTTATCATTCAATTTAGTAAAAACTTTTTCTATTAAGTCTTTTTCAGCCAATTTATCTAAATTTGCTGTTGGTTCATCGACTAAAAATATATCTGCGTTTTTTATAACACCTCTCATAAAACTAAGCTGCTGTTTTTGTCCGCCGGAAAGGAACTTACCACTTTCCCCCACGTTAGTTGCATATCCATCCTGTAATTTTGCAAAAATATCATGTGAATTATAATCCAAACAAATATTTTTTATTTCTTTATTTGTAATACTCTTATTAGAATATTTTAAATTATCTAAAACTGTCCCTTCAATAATATAAGGATTTTGTGGTATGTAAGAAATAAGATTTCTCTGGGAGACAACAGTAATGTCACGCATATCTCTGCCATCTATCAAAACTTCGCCTTCATATTCGTAAAATCTAAGTAGTGTCTTAATAAGAGAACTTTTTCCGCTACCATTTTTACCAACTATTGCTACTTTATCACCTTTATTAATAACAAAATTAAAATTTTTAATTAATAAACGATCTTTCATATATAATGAGAACTGTTTAAATTCAATCTTATCAGTAAAAGATTGAATTTCTTTTCCTTGATTAGTGTTATCTAAATGCTTTCCTACAAGATAACTATCAGTGACATCAGTATAAGTTTGAGTAAATCTTAACAATTGCTTACCAAAACTTTCCATACTAGATTTAAGACTCATAACCTGTTTATGATATAATGCTAATTGACCAAATGTAGCTAATGATAAAAATCCACGCCCTGTTAATACCATATAAATAACAATACTATTGGGTAGGATTGTAAGAAGAACCTGTGCAAATCTTGTTATATTACAAACAGTATCATAATAAAAGTAAGACATTTCTACACTAGCACCCTTTTCATTGAGTTTACATATTTCTAAAGAATCATTGTTATATGATTTAATTACATCGTAATTATTAAGTATACCATAAATCCTATTAGAACATTCATTCCAGTCGTTATTAGCAGCTTCTCTACTTCTTTTGATAATAAAAGAAGTAAAATAACAGAAAGATAAATACGCTACAAGAACACCAATATTAAAAAATACTAACTCTTTGCCAAGTGTCAGATACATTCTGTTATAAATAACAAATAAAATAGTAGAATTAAAATAAGCATTCATAATAAGTAATTCTATAAAATCAATAATTCCTCTGGTTCTTCTTTCAATAACCGTATGTATTTTACCAGATCCAATGGAATGAAAGTCTTCGTAGTGTAACACCAAATATTCTTTAACATGGATTTTAAAAGATGACACGACGGTGCTTTGTAAGTAGATTGCGAAAAGACAGTCACTAAAAAATGTCAGGAGATAATGCGATACAGTGAATAACAAATATAATAAAATAAGTTTTCCAGGATAGTTACTCTTTATATCACTAATCATATAACATTCCAATGCAGTAACAGCTTCAATTATATAGCTATGGCAGGAAGCAGAAAGATATATTAACACAAATATTGGAACAATAAAAATCTTAAACAAAGGATTTTGTAAAAAATACTTAAAAACAAGTTCGTTTACAAAATTTTCTGCCAATATCTGCTTTTTTAACATTTCTAATTAGGGGTTAAAATTTCTGTTATATTTAAATCATTTCTTATTATAAATTTAGAACTTATTCTCCTTTATTTAAAAGGACTCGTAGCTGAAATTACAAAAAAAAATATAAGCTGTCAACTTTTTGAAATTAGTAAAAACAAAAATATCTATCAAGGACATTATAACATAAAAATGGTAATTTACATGTGTAGATAACGCGCATTTTGTGCAATTTTTTTTTGCTAAATAAAAAAATACAATCTAAGAAAATTCTCCTAATTAACATATTTTGTTTTGTAAAATTTTCTATTTACGTTTAAAAGAATTAAGAAAATAATTTAAAATTTTTTGTACAAAAATAAAAAATTTTTATAAGATCAATATAAAGAAAAAATTATATTTCATTTATATAAAAATTTTTACATTATTCATTTTAAATTTGAATAACAATAACAAAAAGACATGTCTTGGAAAATTGTTAAGGTAAGATATTTATTTTATTTGTAAATTAAAACCAACTGCCGTACCTAGACCCCGAATTTAAAAGCTGCCTTAATCTTGATAATCCACTAGTTTCAGAAGTAGAAGGCGGAATTTCAGGCTGAGTATCTGATTTATTAGAATATGCATGACCGCCATCGGGATGATCAAGAGAAGCACCATTTTCTTTACCTGAATCTGTAGATGTGTTGTAATTTGAATGCAATGCATTGTGATCGTTAAGTTCAGACGGCCCTGTTCGGTTATGTCCATCCCATCCTTCTGTATATCTGCTACTATCATTTATAATAGAAAACTTTCCTTTAGTTGGATCAACAACTGCTGACTTTTTATTTACTGGCGCATTTTCATAAAATTTTTGTATAAGTGAAGGATCACTTGCCAAATTATCTATTGGACTCTCGCTGTCAGGTCGCTCATGTAAAAGCGCATTTCTTTTTTGCATTTCGCCTTCATTTAGTGCGGCCAAACGAAGGTCATTTAATCTCTGTAATTCAAGTTTGTCATGTTCAACAAAACCAAGTGAGTGCGGGGTGACTGCAATTATAGGCATTATATCTTTTACTAATTCCTCTTTTGGTGAGTGTAAAATTACGTCAATTTCGGCTTTTTGTTTTGCTAGCAGATCAGCCTTTGCTCGTTTTTCTTTAGCTTCTAATCGTTTTAATTTTTCTTTCAAAACTGATGCTTCGTGCTTTGCACTAAGGCTTTCTTTTTCAGATTCAAGTGCACCCACTTGCATCTCGACAATTTGTTGATCAACACTTTTTGCAGTACCTGTCTGTAGTGCATTAGATAGAGCTGGTATAGATGTATATGCTTTACCATCGCCTTTATGTAAGACATCTTCAGTTATTACCATAGCTTTTATACCTGTATCACCCAATGAATGTCCCACTGCGTGTCCTCCTTGACCACTAGAAAATGTGCCATCTGTATCGTGTAATAAATGACTTCCTTGTACACTTGTACATTTTATGTACAATCTAAATAGGAAGAATAAAGTATACAAATAAATTTTCATTAAATTTTTAGTATTATTTATTTTTTACTAAAATATTTATTGTTTCAGATTCAAACAAAACATTGTTTGTAAAAATAAAATGATATTATTGATGAATCTATCATTCTACATGAATAAATTGAAAGTTATATATAGTTAAAATTATAGATTTTAATGTATATTTATAGAACTTTTTAAGTTGTATAAATCATAATTAAAAAAAAAGTATTTGTTTATAATATATTTTTAATTAAAATTAGAGCAAAACATTGGTTTTATAATTTAGAATTTTTATATTTTTATATGTCAAAAATATCAGAAATATTTTTGAGAAATATTGACATATATTCATTATTCTTTTTATAAATAAGTAAATTTCTAATTTATTTTTTAGTTTCAAATACTCTGAAACATTTACATAAGAAAAATTGTATAGAAATAATGTTATGAAATTTTTATTAATTTTATTTTTAACTAGTTCATATGCACGAATATTAAAAAAAATAAGTGTTTTGGATAAAATTAAAGCTTCAGAGAAAGATGATGTACCTTTTCCTATTGTGAAAGAATATATGAAATCTAGGGAGATAGATGAAAGGACAAGAAAAGAACTTTTAAGACCTATAACTCATAGCAATTTTCATAATCCTAATATTCCCCTTTACGAACCATATCAATTATCAGAAAGCCAACAAGATATATTGTTATCACATTAATAAATTATTTTTTTCTTTAAATTTTCAAAAGTATTTTTATACAAGAAATATTAACGCTTTAGCAATAAAAATACAATGTTAAATATCAAAAATCTTTGTCTATCCATTAAATCTTTGTATAATCATAAATTTTTAAAACTAAAAAATATTAACTTCTTAAATTTGTATAAGAGGATTTAAAATTTTGATTAATTATTATTTCTAAATATAAAATGCCCTACATTAAAATTTCAATGTCAGTCTAGCAGTAGAATTTAGATTGAGAAATTAAATTTAATTTTTTACTTTAACAAGTCCCATGATCTTTAATAAGTAAATAACTTAAAAATGGAATAGTAAAATACTGATAAATACAACAGGTTAAGAACAAAATTCAGTTTCATTATGATTTAAAAAATAAAAACCTTTTGAATGTTATTTTTAACAAAAAGTATTTATTAGTGACACTATTTTTTAAACTATTATTGAAAAAAAAACAAAATAAATTTGTATACATGTAAGTGTTAAAGAGTTCTTGTGATCAAAAGTTTGACTTTATTTTGTAAAACCTAAATTTGCAACTTTTACAAATAAAAAAGTTATAAATTAATTTTAAAATTTTACCCTTAAAAATAAATGTTAAGAGCAATAAGTTTTATAATTTTGTTGTGTCAGACATTTATGACATTTTAAGTTAATTTTTTAAAAAAAATATGTGTGGAAGTAATAAAGTTCTTTGTAGTATTTGTTGTTATGTAAAAGATGATTATCCGAAAACATAGGCTTATTTCAAAAATTAATAAATACTAAAATTGACCAATCATATTTTTATTTAAAATCAGTGATATATAGCTGCTTTGTAATATTAATAATATTTTTTTATTATATTTTTTTAAAAGCTTAAATTTAATTTTTTGCCCTTATATGCCACATAAATTTCCCAATCTTCCTCCTGATTCCCGAGAAGAAATAAAAAAAACAGCTTACCTGGATATACAAAATAAAAAATACAGAATAGTTTATACAATGACTGATTGCATAGATGCCACCAAAGATATATTGAAGATAGAAGTTAATTCCAATTTGAATGATGTCGTACATGAAGTAAATAAAATTTTGAAAACAAAATTATATCAACGGATACATTTATATTTAAAATATAAATATTTTGCTCACCTTAATGATTCTGTAGAGAATGTATATAATATTTTGAAAACTAGTGAATATAATATAAATTTTGCTTTTGTATTGAGAAAATACAAAAATGATGATTATGTTTTGATATATGATATTTTTTTATAAAATATAAATAAATTAGCTAGTAATTTTGATTAAATTGTTCTATACTCCCAATAAGCATGTAAATTATAATAAATAATGTTGTATCTAAACATATATTAATTTATTTTTAATAAAAATATATTTGAAATACATAACTTTAGTATTACAACCACTGAAAATTTATTTGATTATTTTCTGTAATTCCGATGGATTTAAATAAATATTTATGCCAAAATAAATGACAGGTGGTAAATAATACCACAATAACAATATCTTTTTTAAAAAAAATATTACTAATTATATTAAAAAATATTTTATTAAATTCTAACAGAAACCACATAAAGATTTGTACTGGCGTGAAGGCCCTATATTATCAATATTGACACTATTTCTAAGCTTATTCATTCGTGTTTCCGCATTTTTATAACCAAGAGAGGAAGAAATTGTGTACCACCATAAAGCTAGTAAAGGATTCTTTTTCATTCCATACCCTTTCTCGAAAAATTCACCCGCCGAATACGCCCCTTCGGGATGACCCCTTGCAGCAGCTAGTAATGCATATGTAAATGATTGATTATAATTGACAGATAATACACCATCAAGGCCTGTAAAGAAAAATTTGGACATTAAATATTGTGCATCCATATGACCTTTATCCGCTGCTCTTTTATAATATTCTATAGCAATTTTCATATTAGGAGTTTTAAACAGCTGTCCAAGTTCAAAACATTTTCCTAATCTATATAACGAATTAGGACAGCCTAAATTGCACCCTCTTTCGTACATCTTAAAAGCATAATCATCATCTGCATCAATATCACTACAACTGTTACTTGATTCGTATACCTGCCCTAAATCATAAAATGGGTAAGGATACGATGTATTAGCTTTTCGACTAGCTAGTTTTAAATAAAAAAGGCCAGTATCAAATTCTTTATTAGAGTTCAAATCCCCTCTGAGTAATATTGATCCATATGTATGCATCCCATATATACACCCCAATTTTGCTGCACACCTGTAAAAATACAAGGCTTTTGTATACCCGTCTTTAGTTCTTTTCTGTTTTTCATACGCCTGTGCCAGCCTGTAAGTACCAAATTTATTGTTTTGTTTGGCTGACACAATATAATAGTTAAATGAATTTTTTGGATTTTTGGTGATTCCAAACAATCCCAGTTCATAGGTAAGTCCCAAATATACATGCGCTTTACTTGATGTTTTTTTATCAGCCAGTGCTGACGCCATTCTGACTAAAAACTCTAAACAATATGCATTAAATTCACGTATAAATAATCTCGTGCTTTTATCGACATTTAAAGGATTACTGTTACTAAAAATAATACTCTGATTCATTACATTTGTTTCTACACTTACAACATAATCCTTTATTAATAGAAAAGTTTCATCCGTATTAGGGTGTTCTTTTAATCTATAAAATCGTTCTTGAAATTTTTTCTCACATGTAATGTCAGTGCCATACATCCTTATTAAAAGTAAGTAATGTATATATTTTAAAGTGACCAATAATAAATAACACTCCTTTAATTTAGTACTATAAAGAGTTTTAATCTAAAAATTAACAATGTATATAATAAACACTGTATGTATTATTAACATGACTTAATCATTATATTTTTATAGTAAATAATATAAATACTTAAAATGAAGTTGGTGTCTTTAAATCTAATAAATGGTAATGAATCTTAATTTCCTAACTAAAAAAGAAAACAGCTAAATTGTTTCATAATAAAAATATTACTTTTAAAACTTACTGTAAAACAAGGACACAAATAAACTTTTGAATAATAATTTTATATTGTAATTAGACAAAATTAATAGTAAAATATATAAGTTAATAAACGTTAATAAAAAAAAACTTTAAAAATTTATTCTCTTTCTGAAACTAAATCTGAATTATGATCTCTAAACTCTTGGTTGTGTTTAATTTTTTCAATTGTTTTATTAATAGCCATTGTTATATCGCCATTCTTTTTTGTTAATAAAAGATTTATCGTTTTATCGCCTAACTGACTGTATGAAACAACACCCAGTACATCTTCAATTACGTACTGAAATAATCTATCATTTTTCATATAACTTCTTATGTCATCAAAATTATCAAGAATATAATTAATAATAAAAGTTCTATGCATTAAATTGCAAGGAAGATAGAGGAAGAAATATATACTGTTATGGGGTTCAATCTCTTTATACATTGATATCATATTTTTTAATGCACTATCTTTATAAATATAAGCTAAAGATGATAGTGCCATTATTCTCTCATCAGGTAATTTGGATTCTTTAGCTAGTTTCCACAAATCTTCAAATTTTGTGTCGGCCACTGAAGCAAATATAGACCTTATGTACTCAGGATTAATATATTTGCCTTGTTTATACAAGTCATATGCATCAGATAACTTCTTTTTTAGATCTTTATCCCCTGTAGATAATCCATACGAAAGAAGTAAACTGTTAGCAATCACATTTTCACATTTAATATCTTGACAATGTAAATCAATACTCTTTGCTCTCTCTCCTGTAATGTCCCAAATCACTTCATTAATATGTTTTACTACATTTTTCTCATCGGCAAAAATGCTGCGTATTTTTCCCAAATTAGAAAGTATTGATCCTAAAATCTCAGCATTGGTTTCTCTAGAAAATAACTCGCTTAAAACAATACCATCAATTGCTAGCATCTTGTTGGAAAATATAAGTGCAAAAATGTCATTTATAATATTTAACTTATTGCTAGTAGATATGCCTATCTTTATTAAATCTGCCAAATTTTGTAGTGGATATCTCACCCTATAAAATCCAGAAGCTTCATCATTTAGTTTATAAATTTTATTTTTTTTAGGAATAGTTAAATTTTTTTCAATCATTAAAATATTTTCAGTGCTTTCTGTTTCACCGAACCATCTTATTTTTATTGGAATCTTCCACAAATCTCTGTTGCTTGGACCAGATAGTAAAAATCTTTGTTGTTCAATAATTAAACTGTATTCACTAGGATCAACATCAGTTGGATCATCGCTATCTAAAGTCAAAGTACTTTTAGTACATTCTGATGTGTCTTTAATATTAAGAATGGGAAATCCTTGTCTTGTAATCCAATCATTCATAATAACTTGTACATTTAATTCTGCAGAAAATGATAACCATAAATCTTCTGTACATGCATTAGAATATTTAAATTTATTTAAATAATCTCTAATTCCTTTTTGAAATTCTTCTTCACCAATATAACCTTCTAACATTCTTATCATAGACGCCCCTTTAGAATAAGAAATGGTATCAAAAATCTGATTTATATCAGAAGGCTTATTAACTGTTACAGCTATAGGATGAGAATTTTTAAGACAATCATGTCGCATTCCAGATTCAATATCTGCCATAATAAACTCAGGCCATACATCCCAATCAATAAGTTCTTTAGAAATATTATTCATGGCTAGATATGATGCCCATGTAGCAAATCCTTCATTAAGCCATAAATCATTCCACCATTTCATGGTAACCAAGTTACCAAACCACATATGTGCCAATTCATGGCATACCGTCTCTGCTATTCTTTTTTTAGATCTTTGACTACTAGTATTTTTATCATATAATAATGATGTTTTCCTAAAAGTGACTAGTCCCCAATTTTCCATTGCACCACTAACAAATGCAGGAATTGTAACAAAATCAAGTTTTGGAAGAGGATAGTCTATTCCAAAATATTTTTCAAAAAAATCAAGACATTCTGCTGCTACTCTACCTGAATATTCTCCCCATGCTTTTTCGTCCTTGTGTGCATAGACACGTATAGGTACGCCTCTTTTAGTTTGTGTCTCATAAGCTTCCAATTTACCAGAAATGTATGCCACAATATAAGTAGACATTTTAGGTGTAGTATTAAAAATATAGTAACCATTTTTAATTTCTTTTAAGCTAGAATTACTCAATGCATTATATCCTTCTAATGGTTTGATAGCTATATCGAAGGTAGCTTTCATATCAGGCTGATCCCAGCAGGGAAACGCCCTTCTTGCATTAGTAGGCTCGAAATCTGTAGAAAATAAATCATCTTCATTATATTTTGATTTATAAAACCCCCACATATCTTGTGAATAACACCCTTTAAATTTAATGCTTAAATAAACTTTATCTTTTATACTAATTTCTCCTTCTTCAATTTTTATAAGACAAAAGGTATTTTCTGAATTAATTGAAATCTTTTTTTCTGAATCATTCACCATCAATTTAACTTCAAGTAAATCGAGAGAATCAGAATTGAAATTAAATTGATTAGTATTTTTCAAAACTATTAAGTCTATCTTTACGTCCCCTGTAAAATATTCCTCTTGTATTACAACACTTAAATTGTAATGTTCAGGTTTTACATTGTAATCAAGAACTTCTTTCATGCAAGGGTAAAAAAAATTATATTTATACTTTAAAACAAAAAATTTGAAACAAACTTATATAAATGAAACAAAATTACAAAAATTAAAAATTGCCTTAAAAATCTTTATAGGCCCAAACAAATATTTGAGTCAACAGTTGATATTAATTTATACACAAGTTAACAGAAAACTGAAGACTTTGTTTTACAAAAAATAATTGTGAATAAAATTTAAATAAATTTTAATACATGGTTGTAAATTGTAACAAGTTTCAAAATAAATTTTCTTTTTATACATAGCTTTGATATTTTGTTTAATATTTCTTTATTTTAAAACAATTGTCTGTTTACCATTAGATAAACCTCTTTATTATCTTGTCTAGTAGGAATATATTCGTGCCGTTTTCGCTGCTACAGTGTGGTTGTTTAAGAAGAAAAGGTAGATTGGCTTGTTACTATAAAAGATTTCATAGAGAATATTATGTTTATTTAAAAATTTCCTTAAATACTTTTAAATCGATAAAAAAAGATTTAACAATTACTGGTAAAACAATGATTTTTATCGTAATTAAAACAATTTTTCTATTGCATCTGATTGCTTATTTTTTGCGAGATAAAAACAGCCAGACATTTTTTATTTTAATTTGGCTTTTTAAGCATATTTTTACTTTTGTCTTTATATTTACTATGTATTTCTGTGCTAAGTGAATTTTAATTTTTTTATTGTTTGTAATGCCTTATTGGTTATACAGTTGCAAATAAATAGCTTTAAGAGCTTCTTTGTGTTTTCTCATATAGCTGTGTACAACATTCTAATAAATTATTTAGCCACGCAATCTTTTGTAACTTCAAACATTATTTTATTATAAACATAAAGAAATCTTTTATCTACATTTTTTTCTTATTATATTTTCTTTCAACAACGATTTTAAATAAGTATACCCTTGCAACTCTTAGTTTTCAAGTTTCATTCCTTTTGATTTCTCACAATCATTGTTTATATGCAGTACTTTATTATCTTATAAATATTGTGATATCAATAGACTATGTATAGATAACTATAAAGCCGGGTTCATATTGTTATGAAGCCCCTAAACTATAAATTATAAGAATAAGATTGTTTGATTTGATGTATCAGCCTTATATAATTTTTATAAAAAATAAACCCATGTTTTCTCATAACAATTCTTTCTGACACAACAAAAAATTTCTTCATTTCTAAGTATAATTATATTTTTTATACTTTCAGGTTCAAATTCCCTTCAATACCTCAACATCACGTTTTATATTCTTGTAAAAAATAATAGCGTTTAATAGCCGCCTTAGTAGAATATTTAATAAAAACAGGATTTATAAATTTACTTGGAAATGTATATTTTTTGTTAATGATTGCTGCATCTTGTATAAATTTTAAAAAGCGAATTATGTGGTAATATGTGGATAATGGTGATTGTAATTATTACAACAATATATATTGTTTCTTTGCGCCACATTATTTTGCTCGAAAATAGAAATATTGCAGCAGTAATGGGGTTTTCAAGCTTAATTGGTTTTTTGTAATAGGAATAACATCCTATGCACACAAAAAATAACTATACTAATATTTCTAGCATTATTATTGTATACATTGTAATATTAAATTTTTGCGCACTACTCATTTCATTTGCAACGGTAATAATTTTAGAATTCTTGTCATTCACAATAACAACAAATAGTATATTGGGAGCATTAAAATAAAAAATTATGGGTTTTACAGGATTTATTTTTATTAATGAAAACGTTTTTATTACATAATGTGTTTGCTTTAAATCGGAGCATTTGTATTTTGTAATATTATTTGTACCAACGTATAAAATATTAATTTTATAAGAAAAAATTATAATGTTTATATTTTTTTTAGTATTGGGTAAAAAAATTGTAAATAAAAGAATATATCATTTGATAGACAAATAACAATGAATTTGATTATTTTCTGTAATGCATTACTTTAGTAGGGTAATCTTTATTATCTTTATTTTGAAACTTTTAAGCGGGTATTTTAATAAAAAAAAATAAAAGAAAAAGTTTATTAAAATAATAAAATAAAAGGTTTATTTTTTAAAATAAAAACAGCAACAAAAGAAAAACTACCAGGCCACTAAAAACTTCATTTTAAAAACAAAAACATCAATATTGCTCTTACACGCCAGCATACCTTTACGGGCTTGCTTATAGAAGAAAAGAACTTTTCCGTAGGATACAGAATCCTCGATCTATTTAAAGACCATTTCTCACCTTAAGTGAGTTTACAGAACAAAATCGTCTGGTTCAATACACGGCGGGAGTTTTAATAAAAATTTTTACTTTTTACAAATGATATTTATTATTAAGAAACAAAAAAAGATTTTCGACCATGAATTTTCAAAAGAAATTTAATTTTTTGGAGCAGTTAAATCCAAGGAGTAGTCTTTATCGTTGAATCTTGGCAGCGTGAATCGTTAAGTAATTACTTGGCGTTGACAAAACAACTGTCATAAAATATTAGTTAAGAAAGTCATTTTGTAAGGCTTTGTGTAGATGCCGATTAAGGGTTGAAAATTTTATTAAGTTGCGAGAAGGCATATCACTATTTATGTCGGCGCAACAATTGCTCTGGCTGTGGAAATATTTGTAAGTCGTACACGGAGACCTAAAATAAGAAGTTACATCTGAAGACCCGCCTGGGTGGGATAAGCAAGCTATTGAAACTCTAGAATTTCGCGTGAGATGTTAAAAAACATTACGGTTATTAAACTCGTATCACCTCTACCGAGCGATCTAGCAAACCCCTGATTTGATAGCATATTACCAGTTGTCGGCCCTGTACTATCCTTGCGGAGATTAAAACATCTTCTTACAAAGCGAGATTTTTGTGGTACGCTTGTGCTAGTATTGCGCATATGTTGAAATTGAGGAAAGGGGGAGTTTCTTAGAGAAAGAGAATAAAAAAGAAAAAAAAGGTACAAAAGAGTGGCTATGTTTTAAAGTAATATTAAATTGTGACAAATGTAATCTTGAATTTAATTATGTCGCTTTAAAATTTGAAGAACTAAATTTTTAAAAGCTATCTGACATATCCTTCTTCGATGTTTTGCTCAATAAGCAATATGTAATTAAATGATTTATTTTAGTTTATTAAAACTTATTGTGTCCCTCTTATGAACCAGATTATTTATATTTCATTTTTAATTAATGTAGTATTTAAATTAAAACATTTGACAGCCAATTTATATTAAATTTTTGTGTTTTAGTGGAATACCAAAATATCAATAAACAAATAAATTATAATAAAATAAAATTTTCAAAACAGTATTTGTTGCATAAAAAACTATTTTCAAAAGCTTAATTTCAACCGTATAAACAATTTAAGTATTCATTGTATGTTAATAATGATTGTTTTATCTAATTTACAAAGACTAAACAACAAAATTTTAAATAATAATTTACAAATACATGATATAAAATGTGTACTATATCCATAAAATTAGAAATATTTTTTTTATTTCTATCAAAGTAGAAGCTATAAAAAACATATTCTTTTACAACCGTCAAAGTAAATCAAAAAGTTTAATGTTTTCAAAGATCTTCACTCCGTCAATCATAAGGCTCAAACTCCTAAACTGAAACGTTTAAGAATGATTTGTAACTGTTTGTGAGAGGATCATTCAAAAAAACTATTAAAAAAACTTTTAATAAATAAATATGCCTAATAAAAATAATTTTTCTCGTCTTACCAAATCACCATCACGCTCTGGCCAGCCTTCTGGTACATTTAAAATTCTATATGTTAACCATATATTTAGAAAATTTTTAAATAATTAATTTTAATTAACGAGCACTGACACATCAATTTCCTCTTCTTTTTTATTATCTAACAACTTTGATGCAAACAAATCAACATCGATGGGTAAATTACTAACAACTGATTCTTTGTATTTCTTATTTAAATAAATAACTGAATAAATCCAAATAATAACAAAAAAGACAATTACGCTGATACATAAGGGAGCTAATTTTCTAAAATCTCTTGTTTGAAATGCATATCCCATAATCCACACAAATAACGATCCAAGAGATTTTCCTAACTTACCAAAAACACCGTCAAAAATTCCTTTATAACGTGCACGCAATGACGAATCAATCTGCATTGAAATGGCTTCTTTGGAAATATCAAAAGAGCCATATTTTGCTACTTTCATAAGAGCTACAGCTACACATCCTAAAACATTTTCTAATTTTATAAACGATTTACCGGGCGTAGCACATAATGAATTTAGAAAAAAATTTGTGTCATTATTTGTTGCCGGATAATTGTAAAAAGCAAGACCACACACAGAAACTACAGCAAAAAGGGTAATAAGTGGGCACGCTATGGCAACAAATATCCATCCTTTGGTTTGTATTAATTTTGGAAATGGTGATAAAAGCAGGATAATAACAGTTATTGATGCTATCTTTTGTTCAAATGAATTATATCCCATAGAATAACTTTTAGTATTCTCGTTTAATTCTTCTGCACCTTTCACAAGTCCACTTTTAAATGTTGATTCTATTAAATTAGTTGATATACCATAGAACATAACAGTTAATGAAATGTTAAGTAATAACTTTGATGCCATCATTTCTTTAAGGCCCTCCGCAAATCCTACTTTAACTTTTGGTCCCTTCTTTTTAACAGATTTTACAACAAACAAAGGTTTGTTAGTCACATTCCTCTCCAAATATTTTTTAATTAAAAATATAACTATTACTAGAACTCCAGAAAATACAAAAAAGCCATTATATAAAAATTCCGCCTCTGAGAAAGTGAGCTTTGATCTATATCTTGTAAAAAGTTCTGTCACTTGAGAAGATAAGAAAAGAGAAATATTCGAGAAAACATAAAATAAAGGTATGAATCTTGCACTTTGTCCTGGAGTTGTTAAAGAATTAGCAAACGTCAAGAAGAAATAAGACAATACTAAATTACCAAACATTTCTGAAACAATGTAAACTAGAGAGGATGTCCATTCGTTAAAGACCAGTGCCAAAGATAATAAAGCATCATAGCCTCTTACAACACATTTCCCATCACTAAAAAGGTCTCTAAAAAAATAACTATCAAGCTGGAAAAGATGAGAATATGGAAGAAGAACTAGACCAAGAATGATATAAAGAAAAGCAAATATTAACAATGCACCATCAAATATTTTTGTAAAAGAATAAGAGAGTGTAGACTTCTGAATTAATCCTACACAAACAAGAGTAACTGGTAAAATTACAAAGCTTTTAAGACAATTAATGGATAGTGGCATCTGTCTACTAAGAACTGCTGCATCTTTTAACACTCGTCCTACTGAGTAAATAAAGGAAATAAGCGAAAACATAAGCGTCATAAGCCAAAACATTCTTCTTTCTACCTTAGCAATTCTAAATATTGATAAAATGCCCCTTCCAGAATTTGCTTCTGCTTCTACTTCATCCTCTGTTAATAAATTTTTTATTTTTTCCATAATACCCCTCTCAATCATTTTTTATTTATATTAAACTTTTTATTAAATTTTTACATTTTAGAACATGTAAATTTTTCTTATTTATTTTATTAATTCTTTTCATTTTATAATATGAATATATTTTTATGTCAACAATTATTATATCGTTTAATTTAATGACAAAATTTTTAATAAAAATTTAAAATAACATTAAATTTTTAATTTTAATGTGTATGGATAGGATAATCATAAAATATTAAAAATAATTTATTGGTTCAATTGGAAACAATATTTTTTGCAAGCACACAATTTACAGAATCTTGAACATACTTAGTTTACATAAAGATGTTTGCAATATATCTGAAACAAAAAATATAAATAGAAAAAACATTGTAGCAAGAATGGATTCAATTAACATTTTAATTAAAGGGGTTTTTAATTTTGACAATTTAATTGAGTATTACCTAAAATACAATTCTCTTCCAGCTATCTCTGGCATTATGAAAAATAAATTGTTATAAAAATTTCATAGCAGGTATTATAAGTCTGCAAGAGAATCTAGATTTAAAACTTTTAAAAATCAAAAAATGTCAAATTTAAAGTGAAAAAAATTATAATATGCAAATTATAAAAATATTAAATTAGACAATCAACGAGTTAAATCAATCAGCTTATTTTTATCTTTTCGTTTCTTATAATTAAATTGGTGGCAACAAGCATTCTTATTTTGTTTTAAATTTTTTTGAATTACGGATAATTTATAGCGTTTTTAATTGTTAATTACAAAATTATTTTAATTTCACTAAATCTATGTATGGTTATAAAATTTCTTGTGTAAATGTAAATCAAGAAAATGATTTTTTATATAGACTAAAAATTCTCTTTTGACATTTAATATAGATTGATTAATTCATTTTCAATGATTCTCTTACTTGTAATTTATATTTATTTATATGCATAATATAAAAGCAATTTATATCAACATTACATTTGACATATGGTTAAAAAGAAAGGCTATAAAATCAAACTATAATATTTGCTGAAAAGCGACTGTTTTATAAAATTTAAAATACAAAAAAAAAATAATTAAATAATTCTAATCTGTCAATTTCTTAAAAATCTAATCTAAGAAAATTCACAGAAATAATAATATGAAAGGCTTTTTTAAACAAAATTGTTATATTTATGCGTGTGGCATAACCTCGGGTAGGTTGCTTTTATGTAATAGGTGTTTTAATAAGGAACAAGAAAAACGATTTTTTTATAAATGATTTTGGATATTCTCGAAAAATGAAGCCATTGGCGTGGAATCTCTTTAAAATGCACACTGTTTTGCCGTATATTCCATTCGATTCTTTAAAATAAAAGTTTTTATAAAATGATTTATCTGGGTACCTTCCCGTTACTCGTTAAGTTATTTTCTTTAAGCAAGCTCCATAGAAATTTTCTTATTTGTAATTTTTTGATATATTAAACCAATGAAAATTTAGTAATAATTGTGATAAAAAAATGATCAATTATTATATTTAATAAATTGTGACTATAAATTTAATCACAAAGTGTCTTTGACGATTGGTTATAAAAAAAAATGAATGTGGTTATAAACAATAATACCAAAGATTTTTAGGTTTTGAAATGAGTCTATCTTTAGAGCTTTAAAACTTTTTTGTTAAACGCCATTCTCTTCTTTGTAAATTTTTACTACTAAGAAATAAAAATTTAGATAAATTAAAAATATAGTGGGATCCAAAATATGTCATAGCAAAAGGGTATGACAAAGTTTACTGTTTTTTTCACTTTTAATTATCGAAACTTCTTTAATCAATAATTTGAATAAAAACAACAAAAATGAACATTTTAAGAGAAATTAATTAAAAATTAGAAACAACGAAAAAGAAGGATAAATTGCAATAATAGGTACAGCGACGAAGAACATAATTAGTAAAACAATTAGTAGTAATAGTAACAGTAATTTCAACAATAAAACATTAAGTGCCATTGAAAGATATCTAATGAAGACCCTTATTTCTGTGGTTATGACAGTGTACTACAGTAAAAAGTATGTATAACTATTTTCATAAAGGTGTAAAGACTTGATCGCAGAAAAAGATAATTTTAGAGATTAATAAGATTATCGTAATTTCTCATCTAGAGCGAAACATACGTAGTGGTTATATCTCTAGTTTCGTCGTTATTGCTTTTTGCAATTTGGGCTGATTCAACTATATATCAATAATATAACGTTTGTTTCACTGCAAGTTTGTATAACATAATTTCTGTAAACGCATCGAACCAAACCACTTTGACTTTGACAAGAACGCTAAATTTGACAGTTTTAAATTAGTGCTTAAGATACATCTAACAATCTTAAAAAAATAAAATTTTTAATTTTTATGTTAACGAAAAAAACACTTAAAAGATAATTAAATTACAAATGAAATATTTTTTAATTTCTGATTTCTTTAATACTATTAATATTTTATTTATTTGCTAAAAGTTAGATAATGCACATAAAAAAAGGAATAAAGATTTCTTGTTGCATACTAGGGAATTATAATGTAAATCTAATAATATTAATTTAGAATTATCTATGATCAATGCATCTTTATTTTTACTCATAAGTAATTTTTGTATTATTATCAAAAACAACGTGTAAATCATAGTTTGTTGGCTGTGTGTAAAATACAACCAACATTAAAGATGTTGACATTAAATTATTAATTTCATTCTTTCATTTTTGTTAAGCTATTTGTTTCTAAATTTTGATCTTTAATTAGTTTTTTAAATTAAGATCACTATTAATTTGTGTATCATGTTTTTATTGGTTGATATGACACATATCTCAGATGCAACCAATGAATTTAATAAAGTTACAAATAGTATAATTTTTTCTTCAAAAAATTATGTATTTTAAGAAACTATCTGTTTTTTTGAACATATAAAAAATAGTAAATTATTCTTATTTGTACAATATTTTTTTATTTAAAGTATAAAAAGGGAAAAATTTTTTACCCATGTATAAATACTTTTTATACTCTTATATACTTTTCTTTGTAATGATTGTGTCTCATGAATTGATTTATGTTGCGTATACTACCAAGCCATCTTATTATTCAACTGAATTATTTTTAGGAATCAAAAGAAATCATCTTAATAGTGTTAGATTGCAACTATTTAAGTTTGTAATGTATTTATTTGTAATAGCACTATTGTTCTACAAAAGAAATGAAAACATTCTAAATTTAAAGCATAACAATTTTAATAATACGACAAGTAGCGGATCTCAAGTGACAAAGATATGCAATTTAATATACAATTTTTACATTTATTTTAAGAATGTATTAGAAGAGCAAAATATTTTAATAGCCATGATATTACTATATATTGGTTTTGGTTATGATAACAAAAAAATTGTAAACGTAATACTTGCCTTTTTAGAATACTTTATTTTATACAGGTCTATAATAAAGAACCGATATTTTGTTATATTTGTATTTCTTAGAAATGAATGGTTTTATAGAACATGGTGGGGTTCTATTGGAGCCAAAGTTATAGATATTTGTACTAAAGATAAGCTCCCTAAAGAAATTATCAACTTTATCGAAGGGCGGGGGTTCGTTCTTAATGTGCGCGACGTCGAAAGTGCAGAATGCAATATTTTTGTAGTTAGTAACCTAAAAAGTGCTACGATATTTGTTTTTAAAAAGGTATACAATTTAATGAGTCGAGAAGAATTTTTAAGCTTATTGTATCATGAAGTGGGACATATTGTTACGTATACATGTTTAAAAAAAACTGTTATCAATTTGTTAATAATTTCTATTCCATCACTTTCCTTTACAAGATATTTCTCAAAGCCTACTACAACGTCCTATTTAAAGACATTGACTAAAATAGACATTACAGAATTAATTTTAAGAATTCTTGGATGTGGATTTATTTTTTTTGGACAAGCATATGAATCAATTCAATTTTTATTTACTTTTTTTGACGAAATTAAGGCCGATAAATTTAGTGTAG